TGGGTGAGTGGACTAATTCCAATTGGAACATCAGGGAAGGTTTTCCTGAGGAGGTGGTAATTGAGAGCTGACATCTGAATTATAAATATTCGTTGAACAAATGGAGGGCGACTAAGTGAATGAATGAATAAATGAATGAGAGAGTGAATAAGTGAGTGAGTGAGTGAGTGAGTGAGTGAGTGAGTGAGTGATGAGTGACCCAGGCTGATTTCTAACCTCCCACCCCACCATTTGGACTTCATATTGGACTGGGGAAGAGGTACCATCCTTTCCTCTGAGTCCCAGCCCCAGTCAGATGGTCTCAAAAGTGATGTTTGCTCAGGGCTATGGGTATTGACGCCAACCCAACCTAGCGGTTCTGTTGCTAGGGGGAGGGGGGGAGGGACTGATGGAACCTTCTCCGTGCACTCCACCCCATGGGAGGCACCACCTCCACCAGCTGGCCACTGAGATTTTTCTTCCTTTTGTCCAAGGCGGAGTGGCTTTTCTGACCTGACAGGGAGATGGGACCCCCTTTTCAGTGCTGAGAAATGGCCAGCGTGGTACACAAAACCCTGCAATCCCACCAACTTGCTGTGTGATCTGGGGGCAGTAACCTCCCCTCTCTGAGGCTCACTTGAAAAAAAGGGGGGACCAAGTGTGGGGACAAGAAGTGGGGGTGAGCTGCAACGTAAACTGTGGAAGACGGAGTCCTCGGGGCTCCTGTGTGCTGGGCTTGCTTTTCTCTCCTGCGTTGAATCAATCTTGCTGGGCACCTGCTCTGTGCCTGGCTTCATGCTGGGACATTCTAGGGACCCAGACGCTCCTCACATTGAGTCCTGTGCCCTAGGAGCCTCTAGGCTGGTGGCTGAGGCAGGTGTGGAAACAAACTGCTCTCCCCTGAGGCCAAAACTAGTATCCCCATTTGCAGACGGGCAATGGACTCCCAGCTAAATGGAACAGCGTGCCCAGGTGACCATGCACCAAGGCAGTGCCACAGCTCCACCCCACGCTGGCACCCCTGGCTCTGTCTGTGAACTGGCTGGTAAGGCTTGAAGGCAGTGGGTTTATTTTCTCAACCTGCCTGATGGTCAGAATAGCCAAGGGCACTTGGAAGCCCACAGATTCCCTGGCCCCACCTCATACAACCAGATGTCTGGGTGGACCAGGTGGGCCTGGGGCTGAGGGATCAGTATTTTAACAAGTTCTGACAATTGGCCAGTTTGGGAAATCCAAGGTGATTGCTGAAAAGTGCAATGTGAACCAGTTAGGGTGTTTTGGCTGCAAGTAACACATTCCCATTTAAAATGTATTATCTGGTAAGGAAATATACCATTCTGTGTCTCTGCCTTATAGCTCTTTGTAAAAACTTCTTAAAGGAGAGACTTCTTTCCCTGAAGTCCCCCAGCAAACTTCTCATATTTCATTGGCCAAAAAAATATGTCACATGACCCTTATTGAAACCTATCATTGGCCAGAGGAATTAGATCCCTACTGTTGGCCCCAACTAATCAGAACCTAGCCCCTGTGGTGGTGCGGGGGGGAGGGGGGGGGCATAGTCATATGGTGGAACTTGAATTCTTGAACAAAATGAGAGTTCTGCCCACACAAAAGGGGTAGGTGAGTGCTGGGTGACTTGCCCACTGCAACTGGGATAGTGCTTATAGTTTATGATTATTAGGGTGTAAGAGAGGGTTGTGTGAGGTTCTGTGGGAGCACTGAAGAGAGAGCAATGGGTTCTGGAGAAAAATCCAGGAGATCTTCCTGGAGGAAGGGGCATTGGACCTTAGTCTTGCAGGATGAAGACTACCAATTAATTAAAGCTCCTAGCAGCCAGTTTCCCTCACCTTCCACTAGGTCCTTCCCCCTAGAGGGCCTGGTTTATCCAGCAAGACTGCCAGTTCTGTTTACCACCCACAGGCCAGAAGACAAAACCAAGGGGCTGGCGGTGGTGATAGATGCCAGGAAGCAGCCTCTACACCCTGTCCTGGTCAATGCGTTGGAAGCCACCCAGGTGAGTGAGAGGTGGACAGGATCAACCTAGAAAGTCCTGGGAGCACCAGGGCTTTCTGGTATTCATGCATGGAGTCTGGGAGCTCAGAGTTGGGTCCAGGCTCCCAGACAGGGACTCCTCGTTGCAGCTAGCAGAAACCCCAGCCCAGACAGGCTGAGAGAGGAAGGTTCTTCATTGGTTCACATGACTCCATAGTCCAGGAGTTAGATCCAACGTCAAGTATGGCTTGATTTGGGGACTCAAATATGTCACTCAAATATTCTCTCTCCATTTCTGGCCCTGTTCTCCTGGGAGGGTGCCCTTCTCAGCCAGGCCCCACTCTTAGTGGCAGTCTGGCTCCCAGAAGTTCTGACTTTACATGGTCTTGGATTCA